AGAAGTGAACAGACGCCTGAGACATTATATTGAGTTAGCTGGAGAGAGTAGGGAGGAAGCTGATGGTGGGGGAAAGCAAGGGAATGGAGTAAGATGCTGGTGGGACTGAGCGTGGAGGCTGGGACATGACACCTGTGACAAAGTGTGGGGGGCAATACTGAATCTTTCCTCTGTTCTTTGGGTAGAATGCTTGTCTGTCAGATGTTGTTCTAAAGCTAGGCAACCAAAGTAAGACAGATTAGGAAGAAGGATTGGCCACCCACTTTTGAAATAATAGGATTTTGAAAATTCTTTGTACACTAGAACACAATTAGATTGTTGTTGTTGCTATGTGCCGTCGAGTCATTTGCGACTCATCAAATAATGAATGGCACTGGAGACTGAGGCCTCCTATTGGGAAACTCAAAGAAGGAGGAACAGTTGCAAGCAGACATTAGTAATTGGAACATAGAATGAGAGAAATAAGAATGTAGGAAAATTCAAGGAGCACTCTGGCTGCTCTTTCTCCAAGACTTTTCTGTTCTTTTGGCAGACCATGAGATATTCAGTACTCTTCTCTAACACCACAGCTCAAAGTCATCAATACTTCTTCTGTCATCCTTATTCATTGTCCATCTCTCACACTTTTAGCAAGTGATGAGAAAAACCATGACAGATTCAAATCTACCAGATGCTTTGCTGGAGAAGGAGGGGCACTCTCCTCCTGTACCAGTTGGATCAGATTTGACAGTATATACAAACACACAAACAAAAAATAAATAAATAAAAAGAAATAAAAAGAAAGACCATGGCCTGAATTAGATGCATTTTAGTCCTCAAATTTACACCATTGCTCATCAGTAATTTGGAGAGGTTCCTGGCTGGCTGAATTTTTAGGACTAAGGTATGGCTTTTTCAGGCCATGAACTTTTCAATAGCTTGTTATGCTGCTGAGAGCTGGACAGTGAATAAGGACGGCAGAAGAAGAATTGATGCCTTTGAACTGTGGTGTTGCAAAAGAGTACTGAATATCCCATGGACTTCCAAAATAACAAACAGATATATCTTGGAAAAGGCATAGCCAGTGTGTTGCTTGGAAGCAAAGATGATAAAGCTTCATCTCACATATTTTGGGCATGTTGGTAGGAAAGGCTATTCATTGGAGAGGGACACCATGCTTGGGGAGATGGAGGGACAGTGAGAGAGAGGAAGACTCTCAACTAAAGTGGACTGACACAGAGACTGTAGCAATGGGCTCAAGTGTGGCAGTGACTGGGAGGATGGCCCAGCATGGGACAGGGTTCAGATCTGTAATTCATAAGATCACTATGAATCGTACTCGACTCAATGGCATCTAACAAAACATGAAAGAAGTTCAAGCTGCACTGAAAGCATTGGCAAAATATAAGACACCAGGAATTAATGAAATACCAACCGACAAATTTCAACAAGCAGGTGAAGCACTGAACATGCTCCCTATTCTGTGTAAAAAAAATTTGGAAGACAGCCACCTGGCCAAGCGACTGGAAGAAATCCATATGTGCTCCTATTCCCCAAAAAGATGATGCAACAGAATGTGGAAATTATAAATTTATAAATTGATAAAAGTAAGGGCTTTTTTAAATTAAATGAGCCAGTTTAAGCAAATTTGTGTTTATGAAGATATTTATTAAATTCAGGCTCTTATCTATTTCTCAGCTATCCTGAATTTTCGTTTTTTTATTACAGCGCAGCTTCTCGCCACTAGGCCTCTCCATTTTCGTTTTGTGGGGTTTTTTTTTAGTTGTTACAAAGAACCTTCATTGCTGTTGAAACGAAACTGGCTCATGGCCGACTCCCCAGCGGGTTTTGAAGGCTTTAAACCACCCCGGAGGAGACCGTGCGTCTTTCTCCTGTGGATTCAAACCGGGGCGAGCGCCACCTGTAGGTTCTCTGCACAGCTCCCTGCCCACAGCTCGCACAGTTAACCCACCACAAATGGAGCCAAAACTCCGTCATGAAAAGCCAAACCATTTGTCCTCTTTAAACTAAATCCTGTTGTCATTTAGTTACATTTTCCTCCCCATGTTAGTGCTTTACTATCGTATATTTTTAGTTAATTTTCTGGTAAGTTTAGAATTGACTCCAAAATGATCTGTGATATATGTCCTTAAGTTCTTTTCCATTTTGTTACTTCAACAGCAGCTATTACAGGGCTTCTGTTGTTCCGGGTTTAGTTTCTGGTTTAATCTCATAATACAATTTTGTAATTATGTGTATGTATCTAATTTTCTTACTTTGCTCAGTTTCATAATCTCCACAAATTATTTTATTTTCTTTTTAGATGTAAAATTAATACCTAAAGAATATAATTTTTTTATTTTATTAATTTATAAATCTTTCTTAAATAGTTACTGCAAAAAAAAACATTTCATTCCGGAGTGAAATAGGAGAAATGGTGGCTAAATTTGTTACTTGGATATTTTGTTGCTGCAAATTGCCATCAAGTTGAGTGAACTCATAGTGACCCTATGAATAGTAGATGTGTCCTGTCCCATCCTGTGCCATTCTCTTCATGCCATTGCCACAGTCACAGTATCAAGCCATCTCGCTGAGGGTTTTCTTCTCCTTCGCTGACCCCCAACTTTCCAATCATGATGTCCCTTTCAAGGAATACCCTCTCCTGGCAACATACCCAAAGTATGTGAGATAAAGCTCTGCCCTTCTTGCCTCTGAGGAGCACTCGGTCTGCACTTTCTCCAAGATATAGCTGTTTGTTCTTTTGGCAGTCCATGGGATATTGAATACTATTCACCAACACCACAACTCAAAGACATTGATTCTTCTTTTGTCACCCTTATTGATTATCCTACTCTCAAATGCATAGCAAGTAAATGGAAAACATGGCTAGAATCAGGTCTAGCTTGGTCTTTAAACTGACATTTTTGCTCTTCAGAACTTTGGAAAAGACCTTGACAGCAGACTTTCCCAATGCTATACATCTGATTGTTAGTACCAAGGGAATGGACTGGGGGTCCAAGTAATATGAAGTCATTGACAATTTTTCCTCTATCTATCATGATGTTATTTACCGGCCAAGTGGTGAGGATTTTTGTTTTCTTGATGTTGATGTCATATATAACGAAGGCTGTAGTCCTTAATCTTCTGCAGCAAGTGCCTCAAGTCTGCCTCTATTTCAGCAAGCAAGGTTGTGTCATGTGCATAACACAGTTTGTTCATGGATCCTCTTCCAATCTTGATGTCTCATTCTTCTTAACAAAGTCCAGCTTCTCAAATGATTTGCTCAGCCTACAGATTGAATAGGTATGGAGAAAGGATACAGCCCTAATGCACAACTTTCCCATTTCCAAACCATGCAGTGTTCCCTTCCTCTGTTAGGACAACAGCTTCTTGGTGTAGGTATAGATTTCACATAAGCATATATAAGTGTTCTGAAATTCGCGGTCTTCTCAAGGTTAGCCATAGTTAGATATTTGTTGTTGTTGTTATGTGCTGTCAAGTCATTTGTGTGACTCATTGCAACCCTATATACACAATAGCTCTGAACCCTGCTCTATACTGTGCCAAGCTTAATTGTCTCCGACACACCAACCCCCATTACTCCACTCACTGAGTCAATCCATCTCATCCAAGGTCTTCTTCTCTTGTGCTGTCCCTCCATCTGTCCAAGCATAATGTTCTTCGCCAATGACTGATCCCTCTTAGCAACATACCCAAAATATGTGAGATGAAGCTTCAAAATTCTTGTCTTCAAGGAGCAACTTGGTTTCACCTTCTCTAGGATAAACCTATTTGTTATCATGGCAGTCCATGGAATGTTCAATATTCTTCTCCACCACAACTCAAAAGCATCGATTCTTCTTCTGTCATTCTTATTCATTTCCAGATCTCTGATCCATACCAAGCAATTAAGATGACTATGGCCTGGATCAGGTGCACCTTAGTCTCCAGATTGACATCATTGCTTTTTAACACTTTGCAGCAATCCCTGACAGCAGATTTTCCTAATGAAATTCATCTTTTGCTTTCCTGGCTGCTGCTGAGAGTTGATTGTGGAGCCAAGCAAGCTGAGGTTGTTAACAATCTCAATCTCTTCTCTGTCTATTAAGAAGCTGCCAATTGGCCCAGTGGCAAGAGTCTTTGTTTTCTTGATGTTGAGCTTCAATCTATATTGGAGACTATAGTCCTTGAACTTCTGCAGCAAATGCCTCATGTCCTCCTCAATTTCAGCTAGTAAGCTTGTGTCATCTGCATAACACAGGATGTTGATGAGTCTTCCTCCAATCCTGATGCCACTTTCCTCCATATCAAATCTAGTTTGTTTTTAAGTTACTGATTTTAAAGCTTAAATTTTTGTATTAATGTCCAAATTTGAGTGTAAATTTTATTTGATAAATTTCATTTGTCCCATTAAAAAAATAATAAAGCCCAGCTTCCTGAATGATCTGCTTTGTATATACATTAAAAAAGTATGGAAGCAGAGCACATCCCTTTCCTAATTTTGAACCATGCAGTGTTTCCTTGTTCTGAGGACTGCTTCCTGATCCGGTATAGGTTTTGCATGAGCACAATCACGTGTTCTAGGATTCCCATTCTTCTCAAGGTTAGGTGTAATTTGTTGTGATCCACACAGTCAATGTCTTTGCATAGTAAATGAAACAGACATTCCTCTGGTACTCTCTGCTTTCATCCAAGATCCATCTGACTTTGGCTATGATGTTCCTAGGACCACAGCCTCTTCTAAAACCATCCTGTGATAGTTCTTTGCTGATGTACTACTGTTCAAATTATATTTTGATAATCTTCAGCAATATTTTACTTGTGTATGATATTAGTGATATTGTTTGATAATTTCCACACTCTGTCAGATCACTTTTTCTTGTAATGGAGATAAATACAGATCTCTTCCTTTATTTTAGTTGCAAATATTAAAATTGCATTATTCTTGTGTACTTCAAACTTTTCTTTATATTCTTTCTAAAAGCACTTTCTAAGATGATTTTCACTTTTCTCCATTTCAGGCCCCTGACATTTATGAGATCACAAACAAAGAGAGTACTGTTTACACCTCTCATGCATTCAGCTCGTCCTTTCCGAGTCTCAAACCATGACAGAAGTAGCCGGCGAGGAGTGATGGCCAGCAACCTGCAGGAGCTCATCAGCAAGGTGTGTGTCCCAGCAGGCGACAAAGAGTCTAGGACTGAGGGCTGTGGCTGCCAGGACCAAGTCAACATAAATCTAGAAACACTCTCAAGAACAGCCTGTCCAACTGTTGGACCTTCCCTTTGCCTCTGAGTCTGTTAGGGACTATTTATAGTGGTCAAATAGAGCACTATTACATCTCTATACCACAAAAGACAGGTACAGAAACCATAACCTGAAAAGGAGCCTTAGAATAGCTTTATTTCTTTGGTAATAGGGAATATAGTGAAATAGCAAACATTGAAAATCTGTTTTCGGTTATAACCCCCAGAGGAGAATAGTTCTTAATCCAAAAGTGTGTCCAGATTGTCAATTAAGAAAAGACTACCACCTCTCAGAGAAGCAGAGCCTGGTCAAAGATATCTATAGAAACAAAAAATAAGCGTGAATATCAAGTTTCTGCAGCAAGAGAGCATTCAGATATGTCCCAAAAGACACCAAGGCTCTTCAAGAATCATGCATACAAGATCACTGTTCACATTTGCAAAGCAAATTTTTAAATTATAAATTCAATCATTCATCTTTTGCTATTCAAATAATTTTAAGAAGATTTGTTGTTCTGTACCATCGAGTCAGAACAAACCCATAGCTGGCCCTGTAGTAAGTTTTCAGAGGCAGTAAAATATAGGAGGAGATTTCCTCTCTTTAAAAAGGTAGATCGAGCAGGCAGAAAGGCAGGTTGTCCGACCGAGAGGCTCGTGCCAAGCTCGATACCCAGGATCTTGCTCTCCGGCGGAGGGATCTGTGTGGAGGCTGAGCAGGAGGCGCTGAGCCCAGGAGGAAGAGGAAGCTGCGGCGGCGGCGGGTGATGCTGTGGCAGGCTCAGGAGCCGTGTGGACTTCGGCCTCAGCCCGTCCCAGCGGGCCCGCGCTCCCAAACTCCCGGCCTTCTCCTGACAAGCCGCGATCACCGAAGAGGCCTTGCATCCCCTCGCCCCTTCCCTGTCCCCGTCCCCGCCCCGGGGACTGCCGCCACCCGCCTCCCATGATGGCTCTAAAGAGAATCCACAAGGAATTGAATGACCTGGCTCGGGACCCCCCAGCATGGTGTTCAGCAGGTCCTGTTGGATATATGTTCCATTGGCAAGCTACAATAATGGGGTCAAATGACAGTCCCTAGCAGGGTGGAGTATTTTCTTGACAATTCATTTGCCAACAGATTACCCCTTCAAACCACCTAAGGTTGCATTTACAACAAGAATTTACCATCCAAATATTAACAGTAATGGCAGCATTTGTCTTGATATTCTATGGTCGCAGTGGTCTCCAGCACTATTTTAAAAGTACTATTGTCCATCTGTTCTCTGCTGTGTGATGCCAATACATATGATCCTTTAGTGCCTGAGATTGCTCGGATCTACAAAACAGAGAAAAGTACAACAGAATAGCTTGGGAATGGACTCAGAAGTATGCGATGTAACTAAAGAAATTATTGGATAACCTCTACAAATAAAGATAGGGGAACTCTGAAAAAGAAAGTCCTTTTGATTTCCATTTGACTGCTTTCTATGAGCCCACACCTCATCTTCCCCTGTGCACATGTTTACCTGATACAGCAGTGCTGCCTGTTGTACATACTTGGAACAACAAACAAGAAGTACTTTACTCCTGTACCAACATTGCCTCCTAGCAAAGAAGTGTGTGTGTGACAAGCCGGTTCTCCAGGCATAACCTAAGTGTGAGACTAAAAGCTTTCTTTACTAACTTATATTTGGATAATGGCAAGGTGAAGGGTAGCGGGAATGGTGTGTGCTTGGATGGGAAAAACAGCTCCACTAACCTGTAGGAGTTTGCTTTTAAGTGGAATCTTTTAAACCTAAAACAATTAAGAAAAACAAGGTGAAGAATGTGAAGCTTATTTCTGTATTCATTTTATTCTGAAGGGCCTACGATGAAAGTTATAGCCAACCAAATTAATCTCTTCCCACACATGCTATAATTTGAGGTTTAAGTTTAATTAGTCAGCATTTAAGTGGATTGGAGCTATTATTAGTACATAAAGTGTGATAGGCTTTGTTCCCAATTCTTTTACATCTCCCAACTCCTTCATTCTTCCTCCTTTCAACCTCCTTTTCTCTTCCATATTCTTTGGTTTATATGTGGTTTCTCAGTTAATACGTAGGTAATAGCTCTTATTTTTCTTAAGTTTTTAACTACTTAGGCCTATCTGGATGTAAGGGTGAAAATACATTTAATGGAAATACTTGTGTATATTTAATGACCCAGTTGCTCCTCTGGAGCTTGTGCATTCAAGAAGGATTAATCTGTGTAATAAACTGATTACTACAGTCATTACATATAAAAAAAAAAGAAGGTAGATCATCTAAAATTATTAACTTACCTTCTTTCTAAGCATTATGTTTGAGCCAGAGATGTGCACTAAAGTATGTTTTTATTATTTATATTTTATCAAAATAAGACAACACTTTTGAAAACTCTAATCTCATCTTGAAGAGGGACATCATTCTTAGAAAGGTATAGGGTTGGTGAAAGAGAGGAAGACCCTCAACAAAATGCATTGACACAGTGACTGCAGCAATGGACTCAAGTGTATCAGAGATGATGGGGTTAGCACAGGATAGGACAGGATTAAGACCTGTTGTTCATAGGGTCACTATGAGTCATACTCAATTTGACAATCCTAAAAACAACAGTCTAATGAGAGGGAACTCTGGCGGCCTATTGGTTAGAAGTTTGCCTTGCCAACCCAACGACTCATGTTTCAAATCCATCAGTGATTAACTACCCCAGAAAACCCACTGAAGGTCATGGCCAAGCTTGACCATCTGGAACCTGTTGGAAACCCTAGATTTGTGATCATATGTGCAGCCCAAATCTTTACTTTTCTCCCTGTGTTTGCCACCAAGTCATGGAACAAGTGTACTACAGTGTGATCCCCAAAGTTTCAACAAGCAGCACCCTCAGTGGTTTTGTGTGCGAAATAAAATACATCAATGTAAAAAAAAAATCCAAAGAAAGAAAACACACTAGAGGGTCAGCTCTGAGTCTGTTCAAACTTGAAGGCAACCGAGTTGAGTGAGAGAAACTAATAAAAGTCATCAAATGGGAATATCTTACTGTATTATTTTCCCCTTGTGCAAATCTAGACCTTGGATGCCCTTGTCATTACTGCCAGTCTGGTCACATTGGTGCTGGAGGAAGATGGCACTGTGGTGGACACAGAAGAGTTCTTTCAGACCTTAGGAGACAACACACATTTCATGATCTTGGAAAAAGGACAGAAGTGGACCCCGGTAAGCAAAACCACAATTATTCTAATAAGCTACTGATAGACATTTTCCCTACAAAAGTGCACTCCCCACTGGCAAGTCAGACTTGCCCAGTCAGTACACATATAATTTGACTACATCTAATAACTAGAACTACTATTCTCAAAGTGATTCTTACAACAAGCATTTCTTGGAAATTTAGTATCTCTGTAAATTTTAGCTACATGATTTAAAGCAAGTAATTTTAAGATAAAAGCTTAGCCAATAAATAAGAGAAATGCAAATCAAAACCATATGCAATGAGATACCATCTCACTCCAGTAACAGTGGTAAAGTTTAACTGGACAGCAAGTAATAAATGTCGGAGAAGATGTGGTGAGATAGGTGAGATATTATTGGTGGGATTGTAAAATGGTACAACCACTCTGGAAGGCAGTTTGGTGTTTCCTCAAAAAGCTGAATATAGAAATTCCATATGACCCAGCTATTCAATTGTTGAGAAAATAAGAACTGAGGCTACACCAGTGTTCATAGAAGCATTGTTCACCATTACAGATACATGGAAAATAACTTTTTGAGAGAGTGCCATACTGCCTTCCATAGTGGTTTCACCATTTTACACTCTCACCAGCATTGAATAAGGGTTCCAATTTTTCCACAACCTCACCAGCATTTGTTTGTCCTGCTCTGTTGAAATTTACTATTGTTACTGGGTAAGATAGTATTTCATAGTTCTTTTTATTTATATCTCTCTTAGAACTAGGGATTTAAAACATTTCTTCATGTGTTTGTTCACCATCTGACCGGACAAGTCCACTACATTCTGGAATATACCAGAAACCAGAACTGTCACCCAAATAGATATATGTTCACCTTTGTTTATTGCTGCATTGTTCACAACAACAAAGAGATAGAAACGATCCAAGTTCTCCTCAACAAATGAATGGATAGAGAAGCTGTGGTATAGTCAGTCACACAGTAGAATACTATGGTGCACTGAAAAACAAGGGACTCATAAAATATTATACAAAATAGGTGACCCTAGAAGACATTATGCTGCCTTCGAGAGTGGTTGTATGATTTTACAATCCTATTAGAGTACACAAAAGTTCCAACCTCTCCAACATTTCTTCCTTTTTTAAAAAATTTTAATAAAAGTTGGATTTCCATTCATTCATTATTGCACTTTACTCCCTGCCTACCCCTCCTCCCAATTGGCTCTTCTCTTTCAAAAATAAAAGAAAAATTCTTTCATTGTTATGCAAGCCCTCCCCCCAAGTCCACTCACTATGCAGCCTTCATTCTGGACTCCTGTCATGACAATAATAACTAATCATATATCCCTTTTAAACAGTTCTCTCCTTCATTTATTTCAATGCAGCATACGTTATTTTTGTATACTGCATTGAAATAGATGAGAGAGAGGCCTGTTAGTCGCCAGCGACTTGACGGCACATAACAACAAACAACAACAATACATTATTTATCCCCTTTTTTTCAGTCTTCCCTCAACCCCAATGTCAGTCTCGGTTTACAACGCTGGCACTATGCAATATTTGTCCTTTTGTGACTGAGATATCTCACTCAGCATTATGTCCTCCAGGGTCATTCATTTTGTATAATATTTCATGAGTTACTTGTTTTTCAAAGCAGCATAGTATTCCATTGTGTGAATATACCAGAGCTTTCTTTTGATGGGCACTTGGGTTGTTTCCAACTTTTTGCTGTTGTGAACAAAGCCGCAATAAACAAGGGTGTGCATATATCTGCTTGGGTGGCGGTTATGGTTTCTTTAGGGTAAATTCCCAATAGTGAAATTGCTGGGTCAAATGCCATTTTTACTTGCAACTTTTTGAGAAAGCACCACACTGCCTTCCATAGTGGTTGCACCATTTTATACTCCCACAGGCAGTGAATAAGGGTTCCAGTTTCTCCACAACCTCGACAGCACTTTATTAAATTTTGCCATTCTAACTGGGGTGTGATGATATCTCATAGTTGTTTTGATTTGCATCTCTTATAGAACTAGGGATTTTGAACATTTTTTCATGTATTTTTTGGCCATCTTAATGCCTTCTTTGGTGAAGTGTCTGTTCATATCCTGTGCCCATTTTTCAATTGGGTTATTTCCCTTTATCTTGTTCTGGTGATCAAGTATTTTATAAAATACTTTTCTAAATATAAGTCCCTTGTCTGACATGTTATTGTTGTTGTTGCTATGTGCCATTGAGTCGCCTGCGACTCATAGCGACCCTATGTACAACAGCCCTAATCTCTGCCCTATCCTGTGCCAATCTCACCATCTCGGACACACTTGCCCCCCCTTTATTACCCCAGTCACTGAATCAATCCATCTCATATGAACACAAGTGTGTTGTTATCTTCTATCTTCTTCATAGCTGACTCAGTGGTCATGGGAAATTTGATGATGGCATAGAGGTCAAGCTTGTTTCTCCTGGGGGCGCTCTTCTGGGGGTATTTGGGCTGCCTTTGGAGTCTCAGCATCTTAGGCTGCTGGAAGGTGGGTGATGTGCGGATCTTCTTTTTTTTTTTTTTGGCTGTGGATGCCCTTCAGGACTGCCTTCTTGGCCTTTAATGCCTTTGCTTTGGCTTCAGTTTTGGGAGGGGCAGGGGCTTCCTTCTTGGCTTTCGGCGCCATCTTCGTAGAAAGGGCACCTATCCTAATTTTAAGCCATGATCAGTGTCTGTTGATCAGAACATTATCTTTGTGGATTATGCTATGCCAGTTGACTTTTATGCCCTTCAACATGATAGTTCTTCAATTCCATGACCAGTGACTCCTTCCCTGAGGGTATTTAATTATGGTTTAAAAGTTTACATAGTTTTGTCCCCATTGGTTCTACCATGTTGTTTTTTGTTGTTCTATATCATCAAGTCAGAAATGACCCAGAGCTGACACTCCAGTGAGTATTCAGAGGCAGTAAATTGCACGAGAGGAGATTGCTCATCTTTCTCCTGTGGCGCATCTGTGGATTACCACTAGGCCACCAGATATACCTTTATTTGCAGCATATACAAATACTCAACATGGGAGACTCTAGAGCACATCATACTGAGTGAAATATCTTAGTCACAAAAGGACAAATATTACATAGCACCACTGTTACAAAGCATGTCTGATATGGGGGTTGGGAGTAGAACAGGAAAAGAGTGGATAGATAATGACCATTGCATTGGAACAGATGGAAGAATGAATTGTCTAAAACTAATGTTTGATTAGGCATTATATGTACAACAACAGCCGAGAATAAGAGGTTAATTGCAAAGAAGACTGGGGGGAGGAGGGAAGGGAGGTAATTGTGCAACAATGATTGAATTTTTTTTTAATGTGAACTCAGGGATGGGGAAGGGAGGGAGAGAGGATAAAATGTGCAACAATGAGTGAATGAAAATCTAACTTCTGTGCAAATGTTCATTAAAATTACAATTAAAATAAAATTGTATTAAAAAAAAGAAACGTCACCTGCCAAACCTACAAATGATCATGAATGTATTCCCTTTCACTCACCTACATCTGTCTGTCTCCCTGTGTGCCCACCTACAGGATAGTGTTTGTTTTTACCAGTAATGTAGGGTTGTGTGTCATGGTCTGTTGTTGTCTATAGCTCTTTAACACCTCTCTGTGCCTTCCTTTTCTTTAGTGATATTATGCTGTTTGCCCCTTATTTAATCTAGTCTTATGCTCTTTTGAGATCTGCCTATATGGGCTTAAATTTAACAATAATTTGAAAGATAGGATAAGCACTTTTAGAGGCAGTGACTTTATATTAAAAGAGGAAGAACAACTCAGAAAACAAAAGTGAGAATGATTGTACAACTGAAAGAATATATTCAATGTTTCTTAATTGTACTTGAAGAAACTGTTGAATCAGTGTGTTTTGCTGTGTATATTCTCAGCAAAAACCCAAACAAGAGCCACCTACCACAAACTACCTTCTCTCTTAGAGTTGAAACACATCCCCAGCTATATGGGTCATTTCAATAGAATCTACAGATATCTGTAATCAGTGGTTCTCAACTGCTTGTGATTTTCCCCCCTGGGGACAATAGGCAATGTCTGAAGACATTTTTTATTGTTACAACTAGGGGCAAAGAATACCCCAGTTGTATCTCTAGATACTATTGCCATTTAGAGAATGTTGTTGTTGTTATTGTTGTTATGTGCCATCGAGTTGCTGGAAACTCTATGTTCAAAATCTAGAGAATATAGCCTAAAAATATTGCAAAGAATATCCTATGATGCACAGGACAGCCCCCACAACACAATATTTTTTTATTTATTTTTTCATTCACTCTTTAGATGTGAGGATGGTGAGAATCTGTCTCTTATGCTTTGGACATAACGTTTGAAGAGAGCAGAGGGTTAGCAAAAAACAGAGGAAGCCTTTTGAAGAGATGAAATTATACCATGGCTGCAATAAGTGGCTCAAACACAGAAAGGATTGTAAGGGATGGCATGGCAGAACTGGACAGCCATTTGTTCTGCTGTACACAGGGTTGCTGTGGATTGAAACCAACGTGACAGTACTTCAGTCATGTTGTCAAGAGGAACCAGTCCTTGGATAAAGACATTATGCGAACAAGACGGATTGACATGATTGTACCAATGGGCTTGGGCATATCAGAGGTCATGAGGATAGTGCAACACTCAAGTCTGTTGTCCTCGGGGTCGCTTATGAGTTAGAGGTGACTCGATGGTACCATCCTTGGAATCCTCTGCTTCTGAGTGCATGGTGTCAGGGTAACTGGCTGGAGGGGCGATTAAGACTGACATGTACTCGGCGGAGTGGCAAATCCACTCGGCGGCAAAATCTTGCACCAGTCAGAAAATAAAAGGAAGCCACTAATATCAAAACCCCCCCAGGGCGGGAGGGCTGGTTCTGCTGCAGGGAATTTTCAGGAGGAAAGTTCTGCACCCACAACACAATATTATCTGTCCTCAAACTATTAGTAATCTGAGATTGAGAAATCTTGCTATAGAGATGAATACTTATCATATTAAA